TTTCAAATACATTAATGTTTGCAAAGAAATTTTTAAAAAATCAGAAAATTTATAACAATTCAGTGATTGTATTATTCACTACAAACGGTCGTTGTGTTTTCACACAAGCTTTTAAAGGGACAATAACACTCTTGCTGGCTTGAAAGCTCCAGAAAATAAATAATATCTCTATCTAAGTACTAGATGTTTAAGTGTCCTGTTGTGTAAATTATCCATCACATCCTATTTTACTTGTCCAGAGGGTTCGAAAATATTTTTAAATCGAAGTTTCATTTGAAAAGGTTTACGTTAGACGTTTCAAACCATTATGTTGAATTTTTCAAAATTTTTAAATAATGTGTGTTAAGATGAAATTTGTATCATCAATTAATTGAAATATTCTAAAATAGTACAATTTGTTGACCAGAATAAAGATTGGGACATATTATTCAGTTACAACAAGAGTGGTATTGGGCCTTTAAACATGAAACCCATCATATGACTTATCTCGGTCACAGAATTTAAAGACCGTGTGTATGAAAAGATAAAAGGTTCAGATTCTATTAACAACAGACTATAAACAAATCAGTCCTTCATTATACTCCCTTTCTCCATTTTAAATTCATTCAAGGCCGTCTGTGATTGACAATACCATCTTTTCTGATGGCACGCGACGCATCGTGTCATAGCGCGCGACGAGTATGGCAGTGATCCCGAGCAGACAAGGACATGGGCAGGTGATAGAGAACTGGCACGTGTCGGCACGTGAAGCAGGGAATAATAAAGAAGTGCGGGGTAATTGTCAATGGGTTTATTTAGTAGATGTCTAATGAATAAAGGAGACAAACAACGGTGAAAGCAGTATAACGGTATAAATGGAAGGTAATCCGGAGATATTGGGTTAACGGTGATATAGAGGCTTGACACTATGCGCGTGAAGTGTATTGTATTCTTCTCAAGACTGTAAATTTCTTGGACAAAGAAATCAGCATATATTAATGTATATACAACTACATGTAGTTTATAACATCTAAAATTAGATTATAATATTTTAATCTTTTGCTTTTTTGTAACTAAATAAATGAATTTACACATTTTAGAAAATTTATGTCCCCTTTATCTATGCTATATCCAACAAATTATTTCTCTGTGTTCAATCTAAAAAATAGATTAATTTAGACCCTCATTTGAATCCATTGTGTTATTTTGTATAAAGATTTGCAGTGACAGAGAGAGAGAAAATGGGGTTTAACGTCCACTCGACACAAACTATGTCATTTCGGGACTAACATATGGTTCAGTTTTATTTCAATAATTTGTTTGTGCGGGGGGGGGGGGGCAGAAAAACCCACGAGGTTGGACAGGTGACTCTACTCCTTGTCACGTACAAGCAAGGAATCGAAATCACGCCACTTATCTCAATGCAGACCTTATGACGCAATGCGCACGCGTTAACCATTAGGCCATCTAACTCCTCATAAAATAATAGCTAATTCACAGTTGGATTCGGTTTACCTTTTACTAATCTTAAAAGGGTAAAGGGTAGGGTTAGTATTCCCTAAAATCCTCATTTATATAAAGCAGCCATTATGGTCTCCGGAAATCCCGAACCTCCCCGACCGGCCTACCATAAGAACCCGTTAGGTACGGTACTGTTAATTAAATATTAAACAATCATTTTGAGTAAATTTTAGCATTATAATAAAAGCCATAAAAAATTTGGATATTGTCCGAAAAATCCATTATCGATCAGTGACTTTGACACACAACGATATTTATAATCATTTTTTTTTTAAAAATAGCGCAAGGAAGAATGCGTTTGGTGCAGTACTATTAATTTAAACATTAAATAATCAATTTGAAAAATTTTTAACAATGTAGGAAAAGCCATGAATAATTTAAAATTGTCCAAAATTGTAAAAATATATATAGGATAATGAAGAATAGAGAACCCGTTAGGTGCGATACTGTTATTTCTGAATATTAATTATGATGACGCGAAGTGTCACGCGCCTGCCATCCTTTAGGGTTAGAGGCAAGTGAGTAATTAAAGTAGCTATTGGTTGATATATTAGTTATAAGTCAGCCATTAAACAAGTGTCAGTCGATAATATACTAAACCATCTGGATAATATTCCATTATAATCGTTCATTTCAGCGCGTGACACTTACTACACATCTGTGTGCCTTACCCGTCTTTGAACAACCACCTTATTCGAGTATCCAGACATTTTTGGGTATTTAACACACAAGAAATTGTGACACGATTAACCAGACTCGTTTCGCGTGAGAGATTTTGAAAGACTGCTTGCCCGAATGTATTTGCTCTTGACGTTTATCTGATACAAGATAGAATCAGCATGGTTTGTTTATCATATACATTTTGTTTTGGATGCCGAAATAATATATTTTAGAATATAAAACCGAAGCTTATCGATTTTTTCTTTATTTTTTTAATTTAATTTAATTTAATTTAATTTAATTTAATTTATTTTAAATTAATTTAATTTAATTTAATTTAATTTAATTTAATTTAATTTAATTTAATTTAATTTAATTTAATTTAATTTAATTTAATTTATTTTAAGTTGTCAATTATTATAATATGGAACACAATTACTTTTTATCTTACATATTCTAATGAATGTTATATATCTCTCAATTTATCCTACATTTTCTAATGGATGTAATATAACTCTCAATTTATCCTACATATTCTGGATGTAATATAAATCTCAATTTATCTATCCTACATATTCTAATGGATGCAATATAACTCAATTTATCCTACATATGTAATATAACTTTCAGTTTATCCTACATATTGGAATGTTATATAACTCTCAGTTTAACCTACATATTCAAATGGATGTAATATATCTCTCAGTTTATCCTACATATTCTAATGTATGTAATATATCTTTCAATTTATCCTATATTTTCTAATGTATATAATATATCTCTCAATTTATCCTACATATTCTAAAATAATTCTCAATTCATCCTACATATTTATCCTATATATTCTAATAGGTGTAAAATAACTCTCAATTTATCCTACATATTCTGGATGTAATATAACTCTCAATTTATCCTACATATTCTATTGGGTGTAATATAACTCTCAATTTATCCTACATATTCTGGATGTAATATAACTCTCAATTTATCCTACATATTCTAATGGATGCAATATAACTCTCAATATATCCTACATATTCTAATAGATGTAATATATCTCTCAATTTATCCTACATATTCTAATGTAATATAACTCTCAGTTTATCCTACATATTCTAATGGATGTAATATAACTCTCAATTTAACCTACATATTCTAATGAATGTAATATCTTTCAATTTATCCTACATATTCTAATAGATGTAATATATCCCTCAATTTATCCTACATATTGTAATGTTATATAACTCTCATTTTATCTTACATATTCTAATGGATGTAGTATAACTCTCAATTTATCCTACATATTCTAATGAATGTAATATATCTCTCAATTTATCCTACATATTCTAATGTAATATAACTCTCAATTTATCCTACATATTCTAATAAATATAATATAACTCTCAATTTATCCTACATATTCTAATGGATGTAATATAACTCTTACTTTCTCCTACATATTCTAATGCCTCATTTTATACTACATATCATAATGAATCTAATTCACTTTTACAACGTATTCTAATAAATATAAAATAGTTAATTCGACCAATATGAACATTCGAATGCCAGGATATTCTGGAAAGAGTAAATTTCATTTCATTGGATCGAAAGACAATTTCGTACAATGTAACGACTTCGGGATTCAATTTTGTTAAATCGAGTAGGGTTAATTTTATTGATGACATTTGTAATGAGAAATGAAATGCAATGCTGTTGAACATCCTACTTGTCTCTGGACAGTGCCCATCTCCAATTCTCATCCATGTATATACTGCTGGCTAAGCGATCATTAAATTAAACTGATTTGTAAATAAATAATTTGAGGTTTAACGTTCTACTATTCTGTACCAACCGGGATAATGAAGACGGGCATCCGCGGCTAGGTCGATTTTGCTCAGGCAGCGGCATTTCAGCCTACTCTTCTTCGCATTACATGGGGCCAAAATAATCTCCGTCTATTTCTAGAAGCACGATAAAGTGTTCTATGATGTGCCTAGACATCCGCGCTTTAGCCTACTCTTACTTCAATTTACGGGAGCCACGGTGGCTAAGTGGGTAAGACGCTGGCTCGCTATCCTCGAGGTCACGTGTTCGAGAAAATGGTTTAGGACGGTGGACCGAGGTCACGTGTACACATTGGCATAAACGTAAAAGATCACTGGCAGTTGGAATTACATATAAGAGACATTAAGAGTAGACCATAGTGCCGCTGCCTGCACAAAATTTCTCTCACGGCGTACTTCATTAGTCCAGTCGGAGCGGAACAGTTAAACCCCATTTCATTTCACTTCAATTTACAACTGTGAGGTGACCTTAAATGCTACCAATAGGAATAACGATGAACAACAAGATGAGCGAGGGAGAGGAAAATGGGGTTTAACGTCCATTCGACACAAACTAGGTCATTTCTGGAGTACCATACAGTTTATTTTATTTTTTTTAACAATTTGCTTGCGCGTAGATTTCTTTACCAGTGGGAGAAAACAAGAAGACTCGGAGAACCCACGAGGTTGGACAGGGGACTCGACTCCTTGTCACGTACCAGCGTTAAACCACCACTCCACCCCATCCCCTCAAAATGAAATGAAATGGGGTTTAATGTCCTACTGTTCTTCTTCTATACTGGGCTAATGAAGGCGGGCATACACCATACAGTGTGCTATGAGGGAAATTTTGCCCGGGCAGTGGCACTATTGCCTACTCTTATATCGAACTTTCTCGGCCAATGCAGGACTCGAACAGGCTCTTACCCACTTAGCCACGTGACCCCCCCCCCCTTCAAGATGAAATATACAACAAAAAGCTGATCTTTATTTTAACAATATGTGATTTTTATTTTTTATACATTTTTTCAATGTTTTAAACAGATTTTCAATAAAAATTGACGACAAAAATAAATAGATCGAACACAAAACACACTTATACTTAAATAAAATACAATTTCAACAAAAACAAATCAAAACTTAATTTTACTGGTTTAAAACCAAATGTCGTTGATTGATATTAGGAATGAAGAAGTAAGCTTCGTCGATTAAATTCATGTCTAAGCAAGGTGTATCCACCATTTTGTCGATTAAATTCATATCTAACCATGGTGTATCCGCCATTTTTCCTAACCAGTAGCCGTGAAATATAGACTGCAGTGGTCTATTTCTGGTTTTCAAGAAGCTTATTTAGGAAGAGTATACAGGCAAGAATTAAAAATGAAAGGCAATTGTACTTTTCAGAGAACTTTATAAAATTTAGAAGGATGTTACCCATTTTTTAAATGGCTAAAATGATCTATGTAGAAGATGCAATGTGTCTACTTCCGGTGTTCAAGAACATAAGGAAGCGTATACAACAATCAAGTTAAAAACGACGATATCCGTACGTGTCATATGAATATATTTTCTAAATTTTAAGGTGTGTTACCCTTTTATAAGAGGCGAAATGTTAAATTTTGAAGACGCAACGCATCTATTCCAGGTGTTTTAAACACAAAAATCAAACAATCAATTTAAAGAGAAAGATAATTGATTTATTTAATACATTTTAAATTGTGTTCCCAATTTTAAATAGCCGAAATGTTAAATAAAAGGGATACATTGCCTCTACATTCGGTGTTTTAAACAGAGAAAATGGTAAGAACATTATTTAGGAAATATAAATCATAGCCTTTATTTATTTTAGCTTAATTAACGAATCTAACAAAATGTTAATATTGCACAAAAACAAACTGAACAGAAAATGAAACAAATCATGTAAATGAAGCACTTGACAGTAAAATAAATAAAACGCATAAATAAATTAATTAATAAATAAATAAATAAATTCATAAAATATTGCATAGATTTAATTGGGTTTTGTTATAACAACAATTATGTATAACACAAGCATCCATTTGAAGTATATAGAAAATTTCTAAAATATAAGCATACATTTAAAAGGTGTAAGAAAATATTTTCGTTGTAATTTTTTTTTATATAATTACAAAGTGTTATAAAACTATAGAAGTGAAATGGAAGCGTTTATCTTAAGGGAATATACTTTTAAAAAGGCACAAGGTAAGTAACTACTTGTTTATTAACATTTTATTAACGCTGCTGGTCGTCGTATAAAGGACTTGGGGGGAATGGGGAATTCCCTTGAAATCTACAACCATGATCCTAAAGCCAAGCTCACAACACGCCGTACGTGCTACTACGGGCAGTCTACGCGGGAAATTTGGGCAAACCGCACCGTGCGTGAGACTTACGCGTCAATTGGGTGGGTTCGGCACCGTAGAAGATCGCAGACTGGCCGTAGAGACTTTTGGTCCTGCACATGCAACATTTTCACCAAATCGGACTACCCGTGAGTGTGAAAACTGTCCGTAGTTGCCCGTATGGCGGGTTGTGACGTAGGATTAATGTGGGAAAACTTAGATATTGTCCGAATAATGCAGATAACAATCAACAGCTTAAATATTTTGTAAAGTTGTAGAGTTTTAAAAAAAATTATTATTATTATTACTATCGTTGTTGTTGAAATGATAGAAGACATTAATACAGGCTATCAGAATAGTTAAGGCTTAGTTTGTGACAAGGCTAATATACCGTTCTGGTGGTCTATTATACAAATACAACGAATTCGTCGTTAAACTGGCCACGGGTCGACAAATGGCCATCTCACAATCTTTAAATAGTTCTTGGTTCAAGATTGATAATAGAAGTCTATGAGATGTTATTCCGATCTTGGCATAAATTCATCATCGGAAATCAGCACTAAACACATTGTCAAATAGGCGTGGATATTATACACATACAATAACGATGACGTCATTTTGAGTCCATTCCTCTCTATAATACAGTAGGTATATTGCGTAGCTTCGGCCACACAATGGAGCCGAGGCTGAAGTCACGTGATAAATAAATATAAATCTTATTTACAACCGTTTAAGTTCTTTAAGACACGAATGTAACTAAGGCATTATGCCTGACGACGGCAATCGGAAACCATTGTGTTTATCAGCAGAAAGACTTAAAATGTACTTTTAATAACAGAGTTATTAGTAGGCGAATTCCGCACCCCACGGTCTGTATGGTTTCACTCCGTTATGGTTTCCGGCTGTTGTGGTGGAAGGATTATAAATAGGTGGCATGTTCTGGGCCATGACAGAGTTAGCTGTGAGAGAGACGGGAAACTGGGAATGTAGTTGTGGGAAGGAAGACAGAAGGGGTGGCGAGATCTGTGAAACTTGTGACGCACTTCCGTTCATTGAAGACACGTGAGATCCGGAAGACTGGAGACGCATGTGTGAATGTAACGAGGAATCGGATTGGTTAAGTCTGGTATCTACGAACGAAGCTGTTGAAGGCACTCCGGTTTGGGGTTGTGACGTCATAACGTGTTCTTGTTGAGATGTATGCTGGGATTGTAAAACACCACCCATTGGCGGGATTGCCGAACCACTATACTGTGAATTATATCCTCCATAAGACATGGGCGGCCAGCTTGAATTTGGCATTGCCGCTTTGGCTGCTTCTCGCTGTGCCGAATAACACTGTAGATGACTCAATAATCGCATACGGAGAGGGTCTTGTATATCCAGTCCCTCGACGGCAACCAGGTATCGGGCTACTTCGGCAGCGCATTCTCTGTATCCAACACTTCTGTAATCTGTAGCCAGTGCGTGGGGATCAAAGTTGTATGAATTAATGCCTGAAAATAACAAAAACAACAAAATGATTAAATACATTAAGTATGAGGTTACCGGAGCCAAATATAGAGAGAGGGCCTTGCAAACTATTGTCTCAATAAAATTGTGGTTTGCTAACAAAATGGTTTTTGGTCTAATCTTAAAGCTACACAATTGAAGATTCTTACATGGTTCCGCAGTACGCCAGACTCGTTCCATTATTACTATTCAAAAAGCTCAGCATCAAAAATAACAATTTTACTTTCGAAACCCAAACAAGAACAACAGAATCAAAGAAATCAATTCGACTTCAAACTCAAACAATAACATTATATACAATAATAGACTGGTGAACCAAATCCTTAGGCTAATAATATTTTATTATCCAGACAGAAAGATTGACGCATTGGAACGTTTACTCATCTTTAACTTGACAAACAAACGGCTTTCGATTTTCAACCGTTCTCATGACTTCACGATCAAAAAAATAATTTGGCAAAATAATGGTCCAAATTTTGTTCTCACACCGGTCGATGATTGCATCGATAATTCACGTTAATCCTGCCTAATATACTTCACGTGATATCTACATAGGACGGACAAGTGGGAACGGGGTTCTGTCGCGGTTTTCGCAGGCCGAAATTATAGCCCCGTGTTATCCAGACCCCGTGTTAATGTCGTTAAAGAATGGAAGTGGACGTTCAACCTGGATAACTAAGACTAGCCACAGCAGACGACAGGTTGCGTTAGGCTGATAAGGGTGTAAATATCGGAGATGGTTGCTAACTCTCTGAGTCCACAACAACCTGTTTGATTCAATTCCAAAGTCAACAAAGTGAACCGAGTGGTTAAACACCTTTCGTTCAAAGCTAAGTGTTAGTCTATCATTTATTTTTCCCATACCTTTTTGATGCAGCATTTTCAAATGATCCACCGCCATCTGTAGTATCTCTGCCTTTTCTAATTTGGCTGACCCCTGCGAAACAAAAGAAGAATAATAAATAATTGTTTGGAAATGTTTCATAGTAATAAAGTTTTATTAAATGCTGAAGTACAATTTGGCAGACCCCTGCGAAACAGTAAAATAGTAACAAATAATTCGTTGTAAATTCATGATATCCATGAAATACTATTAAATGTAGCAGTAGAATTTTAATTATAATTGGTTATATACAAAATGATGTAATTTATAAAGAACATTCTATTTTCCACCCTATATAAATTAATATTCTGAATGTTCAGCGCTATAGAAAACGATTATTATTATTATTATTATATACGTTCTTAAGAAGGACCAAGGGTTTAACGCCCACTCAACACAAACTAGGTCATTTCAGGACTAGCATAGGTTCAATTTTATTTCAATAATTCGCTTGCGCGCAGGGTCTTTAACAGTGGGAAGAAACAGGAGGACCCGGAGAAAACTCAGTAGGTTGAACTGGCGACCCTACTCCTTGTCACGTACAAGCAAGCAACCGTAACCATGACAGATTTTCCGATCCAACACGCATGAACATACCAAATGTTATAATAGTTTTTCCGACCGGTTAGCAGAGAGTTGAGTTGGTTCCTCTTCTATCCCTACATTTACGGTGTTTCATTCTGAACCTAGCTAAATCCGAAATAACGTAACGATTAGCCGTATATAATCGATTACATGGGGATGAAAGGGATTTGAACACGGAATGACACAGATGACGGCGTGTTGTATGAACTTCTCGACCTGTGAGATAACATACATGTATATAGACTATCGAGTCACTTTAACAAGTCGAAGGGAAAATAAAAACAAGTGAATGTTTCAACATGAGCTATTAGTCTACGTCAGTCAATAGCAGAAATCAACAGAAGAGAATAAGAGTCATGTTTGACAAAAACACATTCCTTTATATTGATCAAGTTCGGGCGGTTTACATTTGAAAATATCCACACCCGGAACTATGGAAATAAAATTGTGAATTTCAGGCGGTTTGAATTTATTCTAAGGATTGACTCTGAAATTCCAATTGAAAATATCATTATCTACCTGGTGTATTTATAACGACTTTACAAATTCGGGCGGTTTGCATTTATTCTATAGAAACACGACACAATGTATTTATATCAAGACGAAACAAATTCTTTAAAATAACGAATTACATATAAAAATGTTTACATTTGATAGAGAGATTATCGAGGACCAATAAAGTAGATAAATAAACTAAGTGTAGATGTCGTAATGTTGTTTACAAGGTATCACATTTAACACCAATATAAGCAAATACAAATACAACCAGTATAAACTGTGAAAATTTCTCACTCCGCTCGAACTTTACCTTCTTGCGGTTCTAAGTTAATAATACATGTAACTCCACCGTAGGTTTTAATCAAATAAATTTTTCAAACAGAGAAAATGGCTTTGAATCAACACAGCGATTGGCTGATACGGAAGCAAATACATACGATTAGCGCGCATGTCAATAAAAGAAAACGGTGAGCAAATGTTCGGATAGCGAAAAGTTGCGAATGGTCTATATAAGAAACTATGTTCGTTTACAGCGACATGCGACTCCGGGAACTCTATCCGAGAAATTTAATAGACTTAAGGGAAGCTAAACTGACATTTTACTTTCATTTGAAAAGCAATTAAAGTAAATATACTCAAGTTCCATTTCACACCAAGGTAGACTCAATCATTTAAAATAAAAGGCAAAAAAAGCTTTTAAAAGATCTGCACAAAATCCACACCTTTAAAAAAATATTGCAGCAAGAAATGGTTAACGTCATTTCAAACACATATAATATACCTCATTGTGACCCACCGCGGCTCCCCTACATATTATTATCTAGGATTACACGTGAATAATACAATATGTATATATAATATATTAACCCGTGCACGTATACGTGCATCTAAGGTGGTGGTGGTGGGGGGTAATGTCCTCTAGATAGACACAAACTAGGTCATTTCGGGACTAACATATGGTTCAATTGAGAGGCATTTATCAATTGGTTTACAATACCAGAATACTTCGTATGGAGGATATAATATAATCACTTTGTTTATGATACTGTAACGTTTCAACCAGATTTAAAAATTCGTTTTCAAGCAAAAATACTAAGTACAATATAGCATGTATTCTAGTATTATAAGTAAATAGTACAATATACATATTTCAACAATTCGCTTGTGCGTAGGTGTCTTTTACAAGGGTGAGGAAACCGGGGGACTTGGAGAAAACCCACGTGGCTTGACAGGCGACCATCGGTGAATAGTACAATATAGAATACTCCGTGTAAGTATACGCGTAGCTATAAGTATAAGTATTGTCCTCTAATAGCTCTTATATATACCTCTTGTATTAACATGTAATAACATATTTCTCCTACCACCAATATTTTATAATATGACCTGCGGCACGAACACAAAGTAATCTTAATAAGTTATTTCCTTTAGTTCATTTCCTTTTTTTCTTCACGGTTTACTTTTATACAAAGCTGTCGGGTTTCCTAATATCTGATTAATGCCACTAATTATTATATTAAAGTAGCACTATTCTTATTAATTTATAATAATGAAAACACTTCCACACATACTATATTAATTTATTTAAAATATATATTTCTCAAGAAAGTTTTGTGTTTCTGGATCAAATATATTTCTCATAAACGGTGATTGAACGTTGAGTAAATTCTTGAATTAAGTCCCAAAATGCTTTGTGAACTCGGGCCTGGGCTTATACATAGTGCTTGAATATATAAACGAATTAAAATAAATGTAGTTTAACGTTCAACGTTTTCTTTAAAATTAATATGAAAATTTCATAACGAATATGATTAAAAACTAATTAATGACGTTAACGTATTGGCGCTTTAACTAAACGGAGCTGTTAATATATCGCCTACTAAATCTTATGTTTATTTCTATCTGGTGTATTTGATCTAGTTTAGGTTACTCGTTAATTACTCGCGTTACATATGCAACTTAATACTTTCTATTATTCTATGGAAATTCCTAATCAAATGAAATTGTAACCGCTGAAATTTAACTACTATTTATTTATTGAGTAATTGTTCTATTTTGAAATAGTGTAGTCTTAATAACCACTTAAATCATTCTACACACAGGGATCCATCTACTTAATACTCCGAGAATAGATCTCTTACCTACATGGCCGCCATATCCAAAATTAGTAATGCGGTTCTACCCCGTTTCACTTCTGTCGTACACACAAAGATTTTATCAAATGGAAGCAGAATAAATACTAAACAAAGGCTAGAAGTATACTTAGTATTTTCGACTAAAATCGTCGGTTAAAGACGTAAAATGTCGGTCAACTAGCTTAGTGTCTGTTCTCAAACGGAGTTTACTTTAGACAGACAGCTTAAGTTTAGTATGCACTAATATGAGTTCGCAAATTGCACAATGTTGGACATCTTGAACAAATGTTCTGTTTAAATAAGGTTATTTCGGGAATAACATATGGTTAAATTTTATTTCATTACTTCGCTTGCGCGTTGGGGGGGGGGGGCGGAGGACCCGGAGAAAAACCACGAGGCTGGACAGGCGAACCTACTCCTTGTCACGTACCAAGGGGGATCGAAACCATGCCACGCGTTAACCATTATCGCCAATAACCGCCGTTTAAAGTTCATGTTCTTTAATAATACCAAATGTTTATCTTTCTATAGCGTCACCTACCGGACACAAACATTATGTCAGAATTTCCAGAATTAATTTACTGATATCCTAAAGACGAAGATAGCGAAGCCTTACAATTATCACTGAAAACATAATTATTCCATAAAATTGTGACCCGTGTATTCCCAGTTCTATTACTAAATACCATTGAAAGGATTTACTGATATCCTGAAGACGAAGAAGTGGATGCCTTACAATTATCGCCGAATAAAACACGTGTTTATTAGATAACTTGTCTACTATATTCTATAAAATCTCCCCAATGTATTCATTAACCACATCCATACAGCCGTGTGTGTAAATGTTGAACTTATTAAAGTATATTTAGTAATCATATGGATAAGATATGAGAAAGGGCAGCTCCTTGTGTCATACCACAAAATTTAAGACATTGCGAAAATACTGGGGTTTAACGTCCTACTGTTATTCACCAACCGGGATAATGAAGACGGGTATACCCCATGCCGTGTGGTTTGTGGAACATTTTGCCTGGACAGCGGCGCTACGGCCTACGTTTGATTAGAAACTAAAATGTGTTGACGTATATTTTAAATTCATTTTTAAAAGCCATGCAGTTTTTATCACCAGCGCTCTTCACTTTATTCTTTGCGTTGATGTGACATTTAATCATTACAATTCATACAGATTAAACATCTGATTATTGTCAATCAAATATTATTGGCTGTATAAAAAGGGGAGTCGCCTTTGTAATACCATAAAATAGTGGGAAATGGTAACTAATTGGTTTCAATGCCATGAATTACAGGATAGGTAATTATTTTCAACGCAATGAGTATCGATAATTAATTACAATGCTAAAAACGAGAGTAATTGTAATGATTACATTTTAACATTACCGGAAATGTCATCAATTATATTTACAATGTCATGATGGCACCAGATCTGGTTGCAAGCGCTAGCAATATGTTGTTCAAAAACACACACACAAAAATAACCAACATTGTCGATATTTATATATTTAAAATTTTAAATATTATTAAATAAAAATTGACTTGTGGGTGGAAAATACAATGTTCTTTAAATAATTGATTTTAAAAAAAAAAGTTTAAAAATTATATAGATTTACCTGTTTTTCAAAAGCAGAGGGAACTAATCGACGTAATTCGGTTAAACTGGAATTAATTCTGTCTCGTCGTCTTTTTTCAATAATCTATAAAGCAAAATAAATACTCATGATATATCAATTCGTTACGTCATCATAATATACACCATAATATTGATCAAATCATTACATCACAAAATTCAAATCATGACGTCATCAAATCAACAAAATAACTAATGGAAAATGTGACCACTGATATAATATATTAAACAATAAATATAACATTTTATACCATTAATATAGAGATGTTATTCTTAATTCCTTTGAATTATACAATAAATTCGAAATAAATAATATTTAAACAAAATAATTATATTTGAAAAAAAAACAAAACAAAAAAAAATTACCCCTCGTCTTTTCTTTCTATCTGTTACTTGACAACTCTGTCCTGAGGGCGATCTGCGAAAAGAAATATATTAACTTATAATACTTTTCTTTGTTAACGTCAAATAAAATATTCAGACACGTTGACACATAACAATTGTTAATTTACCTTTATTTCTTAACAAAACGAAGTACACCATTATTGCTATTACTATCATTATGTTATTACGGATTGTCCTCTATGAAATGAAATGGAGCTTAACTTCCTTTATGCGGTATATCTTTCTTGATACATGTATAAAAGATGAAGTTTGTTGTTGTGTTTGTTTGCTTACAATAGAAAACCAAACAGTTGATCATATAGATTTTAGATTTAACTTTTAAATTTTTTCTTACAGGGACTTTGTGTTATATATATATATGTGGTATTTTGTGCCGTATTTTATGATGATATTGACAATTTTATTAATGACTTTAGCGCTGTTATGTATGTGACAAAATGAAGATTTTTCATAAACGTAACGCCAAGACTAAGAGTTATTTCAAAGCATATGACAAATACAGATTTAACACATAAAATGCCATTTTAAAACAGAGTTGTCTTTAAGGTAAATCTGAAGAAACTAAATGACTGAATTTAACGCAGGAATGTCAGTAGATTGTTCAAGAGTAATTTACTTTTCTGATGCCCAACCCAATAGCTTCTTCTTCTACTTCTTTTTTTTTAATTTTTACGTATTTGTAGGTTAAGAAATATTCGTAATTCCCGATTTGTTTTGAAAAATGCAATTCTCTCCAAGTTCTTCTAAACGAAATGAAATGGGTTTTAGCGTCCCTCTGTTCTGCTAATTTCAGAGGCTCTGAATTTCCCGTTTCTTAACTGTTCATAATAAGTAGTCTAACTGTTGTTTTCTAGCTAATGTATTAACAAACTGTCAAATGCTTCAATGTCCAATATAAATTCTATACACATATTTAAAAAAATTACTAAGTTCTCGATATTTATTCCTATTTAATGTATAAATCAAGATGGAAAATGCTTCAATGTCCATCATAAATACACACTTTTTAACAAAATAATCCTAATATCCCGACATTTATTTTATTTACTTGGAGATGTTTCGTGTTTCATTTTCGCGGATAGTGGAATTTTAGAGCGGGTAAGGCGTGGTTCGAATTAAAAACGCGTTTAACATTTTAGCAACGTCCTCGTCGTGTCAACAAAACAAGAAGTCGCTTATATGATTATAAAATTATACATTTTGTTAAATAATGGGTCGCTGTTTTGTTAAATACATGTTTTTATATAAATAATATAATTCATTGTAGAAAGAGACCGAGGAACAGACGAGGTCTATGTTACTTCTCTAATAGCCCACAATGAATCGTAAAATGAAAAACAACCAAAAAGTGATTATGAACTTAAACTGTGCAATATAATATCAGTGAACTATTTCGTAATATACATGTCCTACTTTGGGTGCCGGATTTAACACAGGCTAAGCATGTTCCCCCAATGGTTAATAAAATATTATTTATAAAAAAATATTTTCTTAAAAAAAATATATAAAAACCCTGTCTGATTTAATGTATTATTAGGCTACCTAATTATGACAATATAGGCCACATAAATAAAATGTTAGAATTTTCCTAAGTTCTAGAAAAAAAATTTATAAACCAAAGATGTAACAAATATTAAATACTAAGCCAAAGTGATTTTTTTTAAAATATAAAGTTAACTCAGCTAAATGGCTAAAACTCTACTTTTCGTAAACAAGTGTCCAAAACTGGCTAACGGTAAACAAAAATTTGCTACTTTAATACAATTTTATGGAAACACATTTACTGAATTTATTATGCTACGTCTCGACGATGATACTTTAGTCTTTACCAGCATGTTCAATTTTTAATTGCATATCAAAGAAGTTGAACAAAAATTCTACAAAGATACATAATGTTACATTCTTGTCTTAATTAGCATTGTCAATTACTAAATGCCTATCAAAGAAATTGAACAAAAACTAATAAAAAATTTAAAAGTTTACAAAGAGACGCTATAACAGTTACGTTGATAAGTAAAAACATAGATGAGTGACGTATTATCATGGCCCATATATGTATATAAAACTTACACATTGTAATCATAATATGTAATCCTGGCCGGAATAAAATCATAATCATTAAGATGAGCAACCCATTGTTCTTTGGGTCAGGGTGATTCACAAGTCCTGCACAATATCACACAACTATAGTTACGTCATTGCGAATATTTCCAGGGACACAACAAATGCCATATTTAGTTAAAGAAATCCAGACCTGTGTCCAATGGAAGGATAAACTTAAAGTGAGATAATATTCAAGAAAGTTCTTGATATAGCAAACGCATGTCCGGTGGGCGAATGCATGCACATGTAGTTCACGAGCATGCACAATGTTACGCACGTGCGCGTCCACAAGCAAAGTCATACCATCGCACGTCAGCTCGATTTGTCCAAAGAAAAACGTAAAGTCCCGTTAAATTTGCCGGAGAGAACCGAATGGTACTATATATTTGTTGATAAGTGTAATAAGTTATTTTTACTTACCCTGCTTTTAATGAATCGTCATCAAATACATCATCACCATCGCTTTCCACATCACTGTAGCTTCGTTTCATGTTGACTTAGGTTTATACGGAAGGCACAATTTAGAAGAAGTGGATCCTAGCGGATATAGGTCCTTTCCTGACCGACGTTCTGTTATAACTAACACACGGTCGAGCAATACGTGAGATAAAAGTTCAGCCGCGTGCACGCTATGCACAGTCGCTGTGACAAGCGTCCGTTGATTGACAGGCGCGCGGCCGTTTCTCGTGCACGCTCCTGAGACACCGTTCGCCACTCACGCCTCTGATTGGCTGCATGCGTGATCCTTTCGGTAAAGTCGCCTGGTGTTATGGATAACGATATAATCGTCTGCTAAATTTTCCGTTGAACCACGTGGGGCGACATAGACATTGGGAGACCTACATCTTCAAATACGTAAGCGAATTTCCAACTTTGTTTTTGTGAAATATGTCAGTGTAGACACCTAACATTTATTTGATTAAAAACACAACAGATTTTTATTCCGTTTTTATTGATATTCTCGCGATTTGTTTATAAATTTGAAAATTAATAATTCATGGCCCGGCTAAGCAGGTGCTAGGTGATTGCGTTGAACGCGAGACTGACACGAGCTCGGCGTGGGAAGATTGTTAAGCGAGTAATTCCACCGGTCTGTCGCTCCGTCATTAAACCCATGTATTAGGCATGTCAGACTGGCATTACGCGCGCCTAGGAGGCTTTTAATCCTCTTGACAAATTAAACAGGAATGACCGCAACACGTAAACACACCCGGCCACTCATACTACCGTCGATTCGCCGATTGAAAGTAATTCTTCATTAACAATAAAGCCATAATTAGTTATGTGACGCATATTATGTTTACCAAAGTAATACTTACATTTGCCACTTTAAAAGATTGTCTTTTGTAAGAGCACTATACCCATCACGCATTTCTTTTAGACATACACGTTTGTATGTAATATTTTAGTGATAATGATGCTAATGATGGAGTATCTCCATAAATAAGGCTACAAAATATTCATATTTCGCACATTTTAAGATTATCTGTTTTAAGAGCTATATTCCGATCTTGCATTTTATGGACAATATCTAATTTTACACAGATCTACCCAAATTAATTATTTAAAGATACATTATGTAGAGAGAGAGAGGGGGGTAACATCCACCCGACACAAAACAGGTCATTTCGGGACTAACATAAGATTCAATTTCATTTCAATGATTCGCTTGCGCGTAGGGTCTTTAGCAATGGGGGGAAACCGGTGGACCCGGAGAAGTCCCACGAGGTTGGACAGGCGACCCTACTCCTTGTCACGTACAACCGGGGAACCGAAACCACGCCAGTTGACTCAATGACAGACTTTGTGATACATCGCGCACACGCTAACCATTCACCCCCCCCCCCCCCCCGATACATTATGTAAGATTTAGATAAAAGTTGACAGTTCTCACTATAATAGTTAAAATAGTAGATAATGTAAATTGAATATGTTGAAAATTGCAGTAAAATTACTTCACTCTGGAAGATAAAGAGCTGACAGTTCTCGCTATATTAGTTAAAATAATAGATAATGTAAATTGAATATGTTGAAAATTTCAGTAAAATTACTTCACTCTCAGACGTGAAATCCTCATTTCAATAACACTGTAGCCTCGATTGTCATTGTTACTGTTGTTGCGATAATAAACAACGTCTCGGTTATCCATTTTACGGTTAATCGTTGAACCGCTGTTGAACCGCCGTTAAATCTGTTGAAAATCAAGACTATATGATGGCATCGAGAGTTGATTATGGTCTAGGTAAGTTAATTAATGTCTAATTAATACTTTATATAAAGTTTAAGGCATAAAGAAAGGTATACAATAGGCAGATTTAACTCTTGGACAATGCCTGTTTAACATTTAATTAAAAACAAAAACAACTAAAATTTATATCAGAGGATTATCTTCCGTCTTAGATTCAATCGGATGAAAAGAATTTTACCCAACACTTATAGATGCGCTAGCGTGTTTATATCGTCTACGAAGGGTGCCGAATGTTACGAAACTTTCAATTCGTCATAACTTTGTAAATACTATTTAAAATTCCCCAAATCATTATTTTTTTACTTGTCTGTAATAAAATAAATGAAATGAAATAGGGTTTAACGTTCTTTTGTTCTGCTCCTACTGGGCTAATGAAGACGGGCATACACCACACAGTGTGCTATGGGGGAAGTCTTGCCCGGACAGCGTCTTACTCACTTAGCCACCGTGACTCCCTAAGAACTTAAGCACCAAACCCACAAAATATAAATATCTTGTTATATGCAATCTAAAAATTCTGAATTTCGATATGGCTCAAGAGCTTTCCATAAAAATTCGAATTTTCAAGATGTGCTAGTGAAAATAATATGCAAATTTAAAACAAGAGCTTCAGAAATAAAATGGGGTTTATCGTCCCACCTTCTTGCACCAACCGATATAATGAAGACGGAAATACGTCATTCCCAATCGGTGCAGAAAAGTGCACGATACTAGATCTTTGTACGATCTGGAAAATATCTTTCCGTGTTTATACCCACAATTCTAACCCTAACCCTTCAGAATAGTTTTACCCACAATCCACCGTTTTTACAGTTTCAATTTGTACGTTTGACATGTAATTTGTAAACCTAACCCAAATTCTTAAACCTAACCCTAACCCTAGAGAAAGATATTTTCCAGATCGTACAAATCTAGTATTGTGCCAGAAAAAAGGACGTTAAATCCTATTGCATTTCATTTGCATACGGCATGCAGCGTTTTCCCAGATCCCGGGGTTGGTCGAGGCAGTTACTTGGAATTTTGCAGCCGATTTTCCCCTTTTTAGTGATGCAAAACGGAGTATATGACAAGCGTATAGTCCTTGTGTATACCATTGCCTGAACGTTAAAGATCCCCTGACAGTTGAAAATCAAAAGTAGATCGTAGTGCCGCTGGAGTAGGGGAAATCGAAAGAACAGTAGGTCGTAGTGCCGCTTGGGTAGGGGAAATTTTCCTCATAGCATACTGCAAGGCTGTGCCAACCTTCATCAATCCGGTGTATGCAAAGTAACCATTTCATGTCATTATATTTCTCAATCAGCAGCTGTCGCCTGTACAAAACCTAGTGGGTTTTCTCCGGGCCCTCCGGTTTCCTCCCACTGCTAAAGACCCCTACGCGCAAGCGAGTTGTTGGGGTAGGATTGAACTATGTGTTAGTCTCGAAATGACCTAGTTTGTGTCGAGTGGACGTTAAACCCATCTCTCTCTCTCTCTCTCTCTCTCTCTCTCTGCAGCTATTGCATAATGATTTTGTGAAAACTGTTAAAATATATAAATAAAAGAACAAAACAGAACAAAAAATGTTGACATGTTTTCTCTTGACACCTCTGTTATGTAAAATCGACAGAAATAGAAAATTCACTAACGATTATAGTCGCTGAGATCCAATATTAGAACAAGATTAGCTCAGGTGAAAACACGTTATCAACTTTAAAGCACTTTACGACATTACAGCAATGTGTCTTAAAGCGGGTTGTGTCGTGACACAAACTATGCCATCCCTGTTAAAACTTCGATAACAAGGACATGTACTTTCTAAATCCTTCAAATTCGGAAGTAATTGACATTATATTGGATGGCGGTTATTCTCGTGTAGCCGTCACCGAGAGCGTGTGACGTTCCTTTAACATCATTAACATTGTGAGACTAAAGTTCCCACGCCTCTTTCTCGTATTCCTGTTTATTTTTAGCTATAGAGCATGAGAGCGTGATGCCGCGTTGATACGAAGAGTAGCGATTTGTAAAATATAGTGTGCCCGGTGTCGTCGCCTGATTTAATTGCGGCTAACTTGGCAAATAACCTTGTACTGGCAGACGATCTTGATTTTTCTGTGAACTGCTGAGATTTGTTCAAATTCTTTCTTCCCACTAACGGATCGCTATTGTTTTGAGAAAGAGACGAAGCAAATGATTGAATGATGGTTTTGTTAATGAGCGATCGTAAAAAAAGAAACAGTGGCGACGCTAGGATTTCCCAGTAAAAGTAGGGAGGGGTGGGTGCGTTGGGGTCCACGCCCGTAGAAATGTGATATTTGGAATATGTCCCGGACAAGAAACATAGTCAACAAAATCAGTTGCATCTTAGCGTAAAGTAGAAAGGAAGGGAGCTATGATTGAAATGTAATGCATTTTTGAAATCTGTTGGATAGGCGATGGGTTGAGTTGGGGTGGGTGGGGGTGTATCGCCATTAAAAAGGGAAACAGTAAAAAAGAACAGACAAACTAGAGGTATGAAGTAGTGCTAATTGGATTCGGGCCCATGTACTGAATATCACAAAAATACCCCTGACAAGTATTGTTAAATGCATTAAAAACTATCTGCAAGTTGGCGACATACAAACGTTTCTAAACCCAAATGGGGTGTTAACTCTCCAGTTCCTTTTGGACTCGGTAACGCCCCTGCGCCATATTGTCGCTGCAGTTGGCAATAAGTAGCGATGAGTGCTGTTCCCGAGGCAGGGTCTGACTACTCTTTCTGGAACACACGATGTCACTTCTCATTTGTTGAGTTCACAAATATTTATTTCAAATGAACAGCCTGTTAACCCGAAAAAAATATATACAAAGGCTAATATTTTCTAGATTTACAATTTGTAATTGCTAATTTATTGGCATTACTCACAGAGGTCCAGTTAGAAGCTTCCATCCCACTGTACAAACAAGGATATTGATAACCTATGTTAAATCTGATGAGTTGTATTAATTAGCTAGGGTGTTTACTTGATTCAATATTTATATATTTACGTTTCCTGGTAAATGCAACCAACAAGGAAACTACGGTTTCATTCAAAAAATGTATATATATACAGGTGCTGAAATTTATATCCATACAAAACCACTTATACTCTGGTTGATAGGTGTTAAAAATGCTGTCAAAAGCTATCAGCATTTCCGGGCCCCTCTCTCTCTCTCTCTGTTTCTCTTTCTCTCTCTCTCTCTACCCCACTCTCTCTCTCTCTCTCTCTCTCTTGTTATAAATTCAAACGGTCGTGGTCCTATCTGACCTTTAAATCTAATAATTGTAGGTGGGAAAAAAGGATTACAGATTCCACACCAAAAGAATAATGAATAGAGTTGTTTTTTACACCTTGAGTCAATAAACAAACTTGTA